GGGGGCGCAGCGCCGTGCACCGCCCGGCCGCAGCCCCAAGGCTCCGCTCAGGTTTGAGTTCACCCCAAGGAGTCTGCAAGAGGAACCGGCCGACACAGCGCCACCGCAAACGTAACAACGTCCACGGTGCATTCCTGTCCGGCGGCAGCACCTCGGCACACGCGGAAAGCTGCCAGGGCAGCGCCCCCCCCACCACCACCCAGGCCAGTGCGCTGACACTGCCGCCCTCCTCCACCCGCTACACCCCGTGGCCATTAAACCCGGCCTTTTGGTCCCAGTTTAAAACACCTCTCCCCTCTGGGGCACAGAGCTGCCTCCGTGTTGCTGCAGCAAAGACACCCAACTCACACCCGCAAGACGTGCCCAGATCATACAGGAAAAAAAAAAGACTGCTCAGCCAGGCCCTGGGACCATGCCTTCTCCGGCTTCAGTCTGAGCGTCCCTCCCCATCCTCCTCGCCACGGGGACAGCAGCTATACAGCCTGCTACCCACCATCGCTTCGTGGGGCCGTCTCTGCTCGCTGCAAGGAAACGCGAGAGAGCAAAGTCTTAACTAACGTCCTACGTGCTTCCATTGTCTTCCTGGAGTTAATTAAAACACATCTATGCTCCAGGAAAACAGTAGTTTCCACAGTCTGAATTCAGACAAACGCCAGTGGCGCCTTTCATATTAAATGTGATTGGCTTGTGATGTGCTAATTAACCTAATTATCAAGCCTCATTAATGAGCTGCTTCCCCACATTTAAGGCTGAGCAGGTTGTAAGCACGTTGCCTCACCGAGTCAGCTGGGAAGTTGAGAGACTTTACACATCCTCACACATAGACCATTTCCATTTCAAGCAAACCTGTCGCCCCGACTCCTCAGGACCAGCTGCTGCTCCGGGCACTTGTCTCCGTTTGTTCTTCTGCCTGGCAGAATCCCTGGAAAACGCCTCGTGGCGGCTTGATACTGACCTCTGTGTGTCAAAGCTCCACAAAGGAAATGGTTTCCCCATTGTATCCACGCCAGATGAAACATCTTTGAATCCTCAAAGCACGCTTACCTGCCTTTCTTCCCTGCAAGGTGTAACCTTCAGAAGCACCTGGGAACAAGCCACTGCTATGGAAATGTGATCTAAGCTCGGCTGGGAAGAAAGGAGGAAAAAAAAAAACATAAAAGTGTCCTGGTTTCAGACAGAATAAAACAGATAGAAGGTGGCAGCTGTGAGGTCTGACTGACAGAGAGGAAGAAAGGAGATGAAAACAAGTGCTTATGCTGGGACCTCATTTTATTGCAAGCAAAATACAAAAGTAAGATAGAAGCATTCAAGGAACCACGTTGTCTCCTGCTTGGAGAAAACAGGCCAGGCTACCATGTACCTCTCTGAAGGCTTCTTAGCGTAGCTTTCAGATGATCTTATATTCTTGGTGGTAGTATCTTTTAATGGCTCAAAGCAGGCTTTTGCCAGTGCTGGTAAAACATCTCCTTGTCTTCGCACTGGAGAGGCACAGTAGGGGCACAGTATTTCCTAAAAAGGTTTGGGTTCCAGGCAGGAGCAAAGAGTTCCCAGAAGACCCTACCAGATCTCTTTATTTAACTGTCTGGGCAGCAGCCCAAGGCCTCCTCACTCAGGGATGTTTATTTATAACAGCACGCGGGGATTTACCTGAACTTCTGGCAGGAAGCTATACAGCACTCCGAACGCACAGCTGAGCCCGAGCAGCATCTGCACGTGGACGTGGAGCTCAAGCCCCCGAACACCAGGTCCACGTACAGACAGGCACAGAGGGGCAGGGCACAGTAAGTCCATCGCTCAGCACCACAGCACCCCATGCCAACAGCTCCTCCGTCACAGCACGCAGAGCCACAGATGTCCTTACAGCCCGGCCTTTTCAGCCTCCGGGCCTTGTTCAAGCCCTGACCCGTGCCACGCCTATCCGTCCCCAACACTTACTAACCTCAAGCTGCAGTAGCCACTGCTATTCCAACTTTGGGCTCTTTAGGTGTGACAGCATCTGCATGTGTATCTGCAACCTGGTACAAATAGCAACGGCTTTGTAGTGACAGTGGTGCAGTAAACTATTCAAGTGCAAGACTGTCGCTGAGAAAAGGTTCCAGTCTATTTTTGATGACCAACAAGCCATCCTGAAGAAGTGAGCATCTGTGAGACGCTGAAATTCGCATCTTCAGACCAAACCCTGAATATCCATTCAGTAGCCAAACATCCAGATTTGTGTATAGGCAGGGCCCCCAGTGGGCACTGAAAACAAGGTGTGGGGGGGCAAAGAGACACTTAGTCCCTGCTCCAGTTCTCTTTCTGATAAATATACTCCAGTCAATGCTTGCAAGTCCAGTGAGCCATTCTCTGACCTCTTGGCTGCTCTCACAGGTGGCCAGGGAAGCAGTTCATATACACACCAAGAACAGACCATGGTTCCAAGCTCCATTTCTCTGCTTCTCCAATGCTCCATTCAGTCAAAAGAGTACCTCACCAAACCCATTCCTCTGGGGTGGGCGCCACATGCCAGCAGCTGTGAGCTGCTTGGGAAATCGGAGGAAAGGATGACAAGGAAAAAGGAACAAAAATTCTTACAGACTACAACACAGAAGAGGTCAAAATGAAAGAAGTTGCTGGCAGTCATTTAAGAGGATGGTACGTGCATACCTGTGGGAAGGACTCCAACACAAGAACTGGAAACCACTGGCTTAGCATCACATACTGAGAGTTTAAGAGCTCCCTCTGTCACACCCAGTTATTACAGAGTGTTTCTGCAGGCCAGTAAACTCCTCCACTCAAGCTCTCAGGGCAATACCGACTCCTTGCATTGTCATACTCTCACTCACACCCATGAACTCAGACTGCAGGGCAGAGAGCAAAGCAGAAAAGAGACATCATATGGGCCGGGGGAGTCTCTTCTGTCTCCATTCTCACTGGTGGAGTTCCTCAGCCTTCAGAGGAGATAATAAATACGCCCTCACTGTAACCCTTTGATCGCTGAAGACAGGAGATGCCCACCTCTCCTCTCTCCCTTCCCCCCAGTTGAAAAAAAAAAAAAACACACCCATAATATTCACCCATCCCCTTTTGGGCCAGAGGACTTCAAAGCACTGCACAGTGTTTATTGCACAGTGACTACTCTGTCTGCTCAGACCTGAGACTCTGACCTTCTCCCTAACAGTAGCATTTAAAGCTCTTGCCTAAAAGACAACACACAGCTGCAACTCCTTAACAGACATTAATAGCACTGGAAACATTAGGCAGTGGCCTATGATGCATGGGGGCACAGAACCGCACATCTCAACAGCGCCGAGGTATCGCCAAGTCTGGACTCCTGGAGGAGACCAAGGCCTTAGTCAGGATTCCCCCGCTCTTGCCTCCCTCCTATCTTCATTCCACAGTTGGTCAGGCCCTTCTGAGCATCCAGCCACAAATGTTTGACATTAAGGATGTGGGATATAGCCCAAAAGAAGTGGATGACAGCTCTATGAAAGCAGCTCTAGAACTGCATTTAAAGCTGGGTCTCTGATGTCTGTCCCCAGCTTCCATAAGATAATGTGCTGTAGAAGGTCTGAACATTTTATTTCAGCTTGTGCCATTCTCTCAAAAGAGCAACATATTCTGCCTCAGTCCATTACGTCGATTCCATCATCCTCTGTTTTTGGACTGAACAAAGATGCTAAAATACCCAAAACAGCACCAGTTTCTCCACATGACCAGAGAGCTCAAGGGCTGTCGAAACCTATGCAAAGAGCTCAACTCTTCACCTTCACCCTGAGCTTCAAGCGGATATCACACAGGAAAGTGTTCATCAGGTCCTGGCCAGCCTCCTGAGCAATCCTGCTGATAACCGTACCTCTTCTTCCAATCAACATTATCTGTATTAAAACCCAGAGAGAACATCATCATACTTATCCTTACATCACTTAACCACGGGGAGGAATCACCTGAGAAAACAACAATGCAGCTACAGAAGCAATTACAAGGAATACAGCAATCAGATGTCCCGAGACCAAACCACAGGCAACTGATCACTTCAGAAAGGTGCAAGTTTTACTGAAACTCTTGTTTGTTTGTAGAGAAACTGAAGTCAGATGCCCAGTGCGTGGGGCACTGTCTCAGGCACGGACAGCTGGGCATGGGGAACAACTTCTATCAGGGCTAGGAGAAATGGCTGCTCACCTCTTGAGCGTCCTCACACTCAAAGCGAAGCAGCACAGAGCAGCCTGTCAGTTTTCTATCACGCAGTAGATACAAGGGTGTATGGCTTCATCTTCTGTCTAAGGCTACAACACACCCCAGCATCTCCTGAACCTCAGTGTACAGTCCTGGGAATGCTGAGTCTGTGACCGCGTCGGGCGCCAGGCTTTTCCCAACACCGAGACTCCAGAGCTGAGGGACAGGGTGTCTAACACAGCAAGGATGCACACGCACTGGATCCAGGAACGTCCCATCATGCTCCCCAGCACCTTATCTCTCTCTTCTGATGCTACTCACCATATGAGACTTTCTTGGGACGACAAGGCTCTGCATAATGAGGAGCTCGCCGCTTGGTCCTTCCTCCCACACTTCTGTCACCTGCAACAGCAAGCACAAACTCAGCAATTCAGCAAACCACCTCAGGAACAGACTCTTTTACAGACAAGGACTCGAGTCAATTCCCCGAATCAAGCCCGTGGGCGTGGTCTCCCTCAAAACACACAGTGGGTCTCATGCCACCTGGCACGTAGGTCCGAAGCCACCCTTTACGTGCCTTGTAAAGAGTCTGGCAGAATTCACAAGCCCAAAGAAAAGGATTCAGACGGTAGTCTGATATTTCTAATGCAACAGCTCGAAGGAAAGTCTGCTTGCAGATGCTTCCTACCTGATGCACGCTATAGGGCACTTCCAGGGGCAGGTACTCCAGTATCTTCTCCCTAATGATGTTGTCACAGATCTCTTGAGGTGACTGGCTGGTCAAGACCCCACTGTGAAACTCCCAAGGGCCTGGCTTGGCTTGCATCAGGAGGTACCGCTGTCAGCACAAAATACACATCACACCCATTAGCTGGCATGTACCATTCTTGTATGGTGCCACAAACCTCTATGTTCATCTTGCAGTGAGTCACTATGAGGGCACTGCTGCTAGTTAGACATCAGGGCAGTAGCTTAATAACTTTGGTGGGGAATGGGGAAAGGGAAGCTTCTGAAACTCACACTCACCACAGGGTCACACCTTCCTAAAGTAGTTTATACAAGATTTAAAAAAAAAAAAAAAACAAAAAAACAAACAACCCACAACTTTACTGGTAGCTGAAAGATAACGTGCTGGATGACTTCATCACTAAGAACAAGCTGCTGTTTGGAAAACCCCAAATAAGTGTTCTGTACAGGAAACTCTGAAGTTACAGTTAACACGCAGCCCTCCTTACCACAGAACACCTCACCCTTGGTGTGGGCCCACCCCAGGACAAAAACAGCTGCTCTGCTATTTCCTCACAGGACATGAAGCTCAGTATGAAGTATGTGGGGTACCACAAGGGTAAAAGCACATCAGTTTCAAAGCAGAAAGAGTTCAAAACTGCAGTTACCTTTAGTGTATCCACTTCCTCTCCACTGAGAGCTGCCAGCATGAAGATCTCCCGGAAGCAGGGCCAGCCTTTCATATTTTTTAGATCTCTGTATCCACCGGGCTTGAGCCCTTGCACTTCCTCTGTGACAAGACTGGACTCCATATCGCTGCTGCTATCCAAGCTACAGCCTTCTCGGACTTTATCCGTTTCCTGCAAACGGTGAGATTCATGGGCCCTATTCTCTGGTGGAGAAGCTTGAGCAATTTGAAGAGTTTTTGCTGAAGAACGGGAATTAGGTTTAAAATCAGATCCCACTCTCAGTTTCTTTCCATTTACAATTCCCTCTGTTAAATCAGTTATCAGCTCCAGCAGGATGAACTTCTTCTTTACCAGATCCACCTAATGTGAGAGAGGGGGGTATCAGGAATTTGTCCTAAAAGAAGTTAGGAACTGGGTCCTATATCTTAAGGAGCTAGAAGAAGCCACCCAAACTGGCTGCTGCAGGGCAAGGTTTCTACAGCAGAACCGGACGATTTTCCTGCATCAGCAGTTCAAGAACGGTTTGTCCAAACTCTGACTGCTGAGCTTCTGGCTGACCAGCTCCACTGTGGTGCAGCTGTTTCCCGGTTGATTCAAACCCTAGTTTGCAGCACACAGCTTCCAGGGTGTGCGCACATGCACATGTATACGCACACACACGCACACTCTTCAGTATTGTGGAGCAGAGGGGGAACAATCAGCTTCATTTAACACGCCTGCTCTCAGTGACCTGAAAATTCATCACAGTTGATCCCAGATACCGCTTGAAGACATTGACCTAACATGCTGCAGAAAGTAGAAAAAAACCCAAAAACTTCTCATTTACCTTGTTCAGAACCAGGACACTGGGAATCTGGGGAAACTCAGAAAGACACTTCAGCACCTCTTGGCTCAGACAGTTTCGTGTCCAGTGATCTGACACGTCCACCAAAACCAGAACTGTCAGAAAATAGTGAGGAAAATATAATGAACCTGCATATTCCATAATGCTGGCTTTCAGTTTCCCCACAGTCTACAGCCAAATTCTTCCTTTCTGCTTTTACATCTCTTTCTTCTATAGCACAGCATACGGATGGAAGGGGAAAGGAGTGTTTTAATCAGTAAGACAATAAAATGCAGCTTATACTTTTTATTTTCTTAAAGACATCACATGTGCAAATGTGCAACATCCTAGCGCAAGCTATTAAGCCAAGCTTAAGTGCCTACCTATATCTGCATGTTTCATGCTGTCCCATGGGTCTTTCAGCATGGATTCATTTAGCTTATGTCTGAAAGAGAAATACAAATTAGTGAACTAGACCCAGGCTGGATCACAACTGCCCTCCTTTCTCTTGAAAGGAAGGAAAACATACTTTCTATCATCCCAGCTCATGCAAAGCTGCCCTGCAGCCTATGACAGCCCTCATTACGTACACACATGCAGTTGGAAACATAACAGGGCCCAAGGGACTCTACGTGCTACTGAAATAGCAATAACAAGAAAAATTCATATCCAATAATGAGACTAAAATATATATACTCCTGTCACTCCTATTTTAAAAACTCCTGCAGTAAAAATCCCATTTTGATCTTAAAAAAATTTTCACTGATAGGATCCTCACTGCCACCACAACAACACTAATACCTTTTGGCTTTCAAGGGACTAGTGAGGCCAGGAGTGTCCAGAATGATCTAGAAAGAGAAAAGACAGTTCTTTTAAGTTTGTCTGTGGTAAAACTAAAACTTATGTCTGTGGGACTAAAAATGACCACGGCATACAAATGACAAAACCCAGCACTATCTGACTAACACTCCCTGCTGCCCTGCGCGCAGCAGCCTCACTTTGGAAGTGAGGCCCATCTGGAAGCTCACCAGCTGCGTGTCTTCATACGTGACGACACCCCGGGCTTTGCATCGGGTTGTGTGCACTTTCTTAGAGACTGGGAAAACCTAGAAGAAAATTATACGTTTTCAATCCAGAACATGCCAAGAAAATCAATTAGCAGCCTCAATTGCTTGCTGTACCACAGCTTTACCTTTCTGCCCAAGAGCTGATTAGAGAGTGTGGACTTCCCAGCATTCGGTGCTCCAATGATGGCAACTCTTAAAACCTTGGGGTTCTTGGGCTGGTCAGGTTGGTGTTGTAACAGGCGGTCTTGCTCCTCTGCCAGTGGAAAGCAGGGGTTTAAACATAGATAAATTCCTACAGACAGTACTGCTAAAAACACAAAACACTGGGCTAAAAAGTTCTCCTTCTCGTCGCACAGCCTGACATTGTATGGGCGCGTGTAACAGCTGAGGATTTCCAGCTCCACCACTCTGGCTGCACTCAGAAATGTGCAAAACAAGCCCGTCCCAGGTCCCTCATGCTGGCGGCGGTGGCGCCCGCTGCTCACCTTTGCTGGTAGCCACGGGCGGCGGGTGCTGGCCCAGGGCAGCAGCCGGCTTCTCCGCGGAGATGCCCAGGATGCGGCCGAGCGCGGAGCTGCTCCTGCGGGCGGGGAGCGCGGCAACGCCGCTGCCCAGGAGCCGGGGCCGCCGGGA